GTGGTAACACGTTTTGAGTACTTCACAAAAGTTTTATTAAACACTGGCAATCAGAACATCAGTAAATAGTATACCTAAGTACAGTAAGTGCAGTAGATATTAAAGAAGCCTGTATACCCAGTACAAATATAGAAGGAGAGGGGATCAAAAAGGGATCAGAGAAATATTGCTATATTTGTCCTACAATAAAGGAAAGAATGGCAACTACGTATTGCGTAATGTACCAAAACAATATGTTGGGAATACCAAATAAAAATATGAATAGAAATCAAATGAAAAAAATGTTCTCTTTATTTTTAAATTCAGTTACTGTAATTTTTTTATTTTAAAATATTGTTTTGTTATTAAAATATGTTAAAAACACTATTATGGATTCCGATAAAAAAACTACTGAAACAGGTAATTTTACAAAGTATACATGTAAAATTTTGCGAATGCGTAAATTTTACGTGTCGATACCAACAAGCGGTAGAAATTAAACGATAGCCTTCTAGGGTTAAAATCATCTTCAATATTTGTTTTCAGCGTGTGCCAGTTCTTTGACTTGTAAGTTGTCAGTATCATCTGAAAAACTTTTATCCATTTGTATGTAATGTCATTAGGCTATTTATATATAAAGTGAATAAAAAAGGTCCAAGTACAATCCCTTGTGGAACGCCTTAGGTAACTGTTTTTGGACCACTTAATCGTTCTATTTTTTAGATAACTTTTTAATATATTGTATATTTTTACACGCAGTCCATAACATTTAATTTTTTCTAGTAAACGCTTGTGGCATATCGTGTCAAAAGCTTTAGAGAGGTCAACAAAGATGCAAATTGCAGGTGTTTTTGCATCTAAAGCATTGTATAGTTTGGAGATTAGAGCATGTTAGCAGGTAAACAAATTTTTGTGTGATTACTCATTGTAACATGATGGATAGAACAACGGCAGTCAAGAGCGGGGGGTGAGAGGAAACGTTTGCGGTAGTACCGTCGACACCCCCCCCCCCCCCAGGCAGAACGAAGTGAGGTGCCTTGAGTGTCTAATGTGGGTGTTGGCTAATTCTTATGCATTGTGTTCTATCGGTGATGATTTGGTAAATAAATAATTATTTGACTTGATAATTAATAAAATCTAAGAAGCATGTATTGCATCTTCCGTCGACCTTTTTTTCTAAACCCATACTGATTAACACTTACCACTTAGAATTTGTTTAAAAATTTTTTGTTATTTTTAATTTAAGAATTGTTTCTTACATTTTTGAAAAAATTGATAACAACGATATAGGTCGATAATTTTGGGTCAACGTTTTGTCACCTGTTTTTTAAAGCGGTTTGATAACTCCAATTTTTCAGGCATTTCGGAAAGCATACGTCATTAAAACTCTTATTTATTAGATAAGTTGTAGATAGGTTGTAAAATTTCGTCTTTATTATCTTTAATTGTTTTAGCTCTAACGTTGTCCCATCCGGGTGCTTTTTTAGCTTTTATATAACTAAACGTGATATAAAGTAGTAGGTAAGCACTAAACAAAAATAAATTAGTGTCTTAGTGTATATAAATAAACTGTTGAAATAAATGAATGTCATGTTATAAACAATATCCACTAGGAAGATTGTAAAATTGAGTAAAAGAAGGTAGGTAATGACTTCATACGATACGCGCCTTTGTAGCACCACAGCAGAGTGTTTCTCTAGAATTTCTATCTGTTTCTTGCTGTGTTCTACAAGATGGCTCCACCTTCTTCTTAATCTACATACCTTTCGTGTTTTCTCCAAGCTAGACATTTTACATTTTTATTGGTTTCCATTCCATAGTGGTATTCTAGCTATTGTAATCTTCATACTTAAACGAATTGTCCAATTGATTTATCTCCGAATACTTCGTATGATATAATTTTCTGTATAAACCAAAGTAGGTACCTACCTAAGGAAATAATCAGATGATTTAACATAAACAAACCTGCTTGCATCAAATCAAGTAACGTATATAATAAATATAGTTTTTTTTTTATACATATTAACAACCGTAAAGTATTAAGTGTTAGATTGGCTTCAAGCCCGTATTTGTCTGTCCTCTAAGAGGCCACGTACCTATGGAGTTATTATTAAGTAATAACATTGCAAAAACGTTGTCACAATCTCATTAAACCGAAACAACTACTTACAGCTCGGCATACCAATCACGATTTTATTCTCAATACGATCTGAAATGAATGCTAATTTCCTGAAAAACAGACAGACCAATTTCGCGAAATCAATACCCCGATATGATCTGTTGGCAAGACATAATTTCTCTGGCTCACGATTTCCCTCTTTCGCAAAAATTAAAAAACGTCCGCAGGACAACCCACATCGTCTATCTGAGTGTTTTGTTTCGTACAATGAGTAATAATTTGCGAGATTCTGATGGCAACATATTGCAGAAATTTCTTTAGAAGGAAAAAACCGTACCACCTCCGCACTATTTGATGTAATTGCAGGGGTGGCGACGAATGGTTCCCACCAACCGACCCGTCTATTAATTTAACAACTTTTATTTCCTTTGTTTTTCTTCAATGGTGACTAATACAGAGTGGTCCTTCTTCATTAACGAACACTTTTCATTTCGAATATTTTTCATCGAATAGAAGCAGATATCAGGAACACTATTAAAGTCGCAGAAAATATAAAACAAAATACAAATTACGTAATGCAAAACGCTTTATTGCTTCTCCAAATATTTTTCTACATCCTACGAAACCAATTTTCGAAACAGTTTTTTCACTATGCAAGGTACCTCAGAAAAAAGGGTTTTAAATGATCAAGGGTCTCTTTAGGAGATGAAAAATGCTCGCCTCGCAATTAGAAGAAGGCATTGGGCGATAAATCAAGTGAATATAGGCAAATGAATTATTAATTGAATGTTGTTACTGGTCAAAAACTTAACAGCTTGCATTGTCATGATGAAGAATGATTCTCCGGGTTACGTTTAGCGATAATTTCCAGCAAATAAATTAAAGTATACGAGGTAACATTGACTGGTTTTGTCTCATCTAATGCAACTGTTGCAACAAGTCCCGTTTTTCCAAAAAACTGGCAATATATTTTAATTATTATTTCAAACTAATTTTATTTTTACTAATTTATAAAATAAAATTACCTCAGAAAAAAAGAGATTTAATAAATATTATATTACATTATGAGTGCGAAAAGTGACCTTTTTCACACGAGTGGTAAATATTGTCGCACGAGGCATAAGCAAGTGGGACACTCCATTAAAGCTCACGACAAAAAAGTCCGAATTTTTAAATATTATTCTGTATCTGTGCCTAAAGTAACTCTAAATACTAATAAAAAATAATTAAAAAAATATCTTAGGTAGTTTTGAAAAAAAGAAAAAAAGTGGTGATCTATGAATAGATCACTGGACAAATTCATTATATATTTAAAACACATTTAATTTCCAAACAGCAACCTTATTTATAAAACTAAAAGTTTATTGTTAATACATAAAACATAAACCGACTTCTAAAGGTAACTAATAGTGAAAATACTAATTTTTGGTGGTAAGGAAGGAAACAATTTGCACATAGAGTAACATCACATTTTAATCAGAAACTTTTGGGTCTGCTCTTGCAACCTGTTCTTTGACATCTTCTTTGGCCATCACGATATTGCTTAAATTGATTCAGACCATCAAAACGCACATCTACAGGAGCTATTGTAGCTTTGGTTTTTCTTTTAACACACGATGTGAGCTTCATATAAGGAACTGCAACTGCTCTATGGAATTCTAGAGAGTTTATTGCTTCGCGACCATGTAAGTATCTGTATAAAATCCAGGCACTTGCAAGTGCCATATCCATAATGCGAATAAATATTGGCCAGTACCATTTTTTCTATATTTACCAATAAGCCAGTCATGATGGTCAACACCACCCATGTGTTTATTATAGTTTTGAATTAGTTTTGGTTGCGGCACTTCAACCCTTTGCTTATTTTCACGTTTCCTGCGGCTTGCCCTAGCTAAAGGTATTATCTCGTCATAATTAGTTACCACTATCACGCACTTGTTGTCATGCCAACGTACCATAAGAACATCAGACATGGTGTCATACCTATAATCAAAAGAACCACGAAATTCTTTACTCAGTTCTTTTGCCGACTTCATTGGACATATATATGTTCTATTATTACGTACTATTCCTGTTGTACGAAATCCAGTATCTTTTAAGTGAACCAATAGGTCTCGATTCGTAAAGAAGTTATCAAAAAAGACTATGTGCTCATTTAAAGTTGACACACAAGACAACAATTCTGTCACCACTCTTGACCCTAAAGTTAGAACTATTTGCCGGTATAAAATATAAACTTAAAACAATACCCATTGGAACCACAAAGCGCCCATAACTTGTAGCTAAATCTTATGGCTTTTCCTCTTATAAATTGCTTCAAACCATGATGCCCATAGTATTTGACAATAATTTCATCAATTGACAAATATGAAGTAAAAATTCCAAATGTTGGAATTTCTCATTTATTTTTGTAATAAGAGGTAGAAGTGTTTAATCTCTGTCTCCTTTATCAATTTTATCATTATCTGCAAAATGTAGCATTGATTTTATTATGTGATACCTATTTCGTGACATTCCGGATTGAACAGTAGCAACACCCAAGTCTGCATCCGTAGACCAGTACATTCTATCGGATGGAACTTGGTGATAACCAGAAAACAGGAGTATACCAATGAAACACTTTAGTTGATCAATATCTAAAATAAAAGATGTATCATTTTTACGCGGTGAGCGTAGCGCAAGGTTTCTTCCTTTATATATTCGAAAATATCATTTGAAACAATTTTTTCAAAAAGTTGTAATGGAGTAAGATTGCCATATTCTTTTTGGAGGGCTTCTTTTTTATTTTTTTCCAGTCTTTCAAAACCGCTATCAGAAAATTAATATTTAGGATCACACTTTTTCCATTTTGGTAGCACGTTAGAAAGTCGCTGTTTTTTTTTTCGGAACTTGTCCCTGGTACTTCATTATCTTCGTTGTAGAATTGCAACTCCAACAACTGGCCGGGAACATTTTTTATTTCCGCTATACCTAATTCGTCATCCTCAACTTCGTCTTCATCAGTAACATAATCTGGATCCGGAGTTAAAACTACGATATCTAAATTCGGACTATCCTCATCAATAATAAAATTAGGATCGTTAAAAATATCTTCAAGCTCTTGCATAGTCAGTGCTCTTTTTGAATCCATCATCTGCAAAAAAGTTTTGTATATCTTTTTAATAATTTTATTATTATTACTTTCAAATATTAGTTATATTTACTATAATACAGGATTTCCTAACCTCTCTGACAAAAGAAAGGAGGAGAATTCTCACCTAAATTTAAGACGAAAATGTGATATAAAATTTTTTTAAATATCGCTTTGTTTTCGAAATACAGGGTGTTGAAAATATAAAAATTTAAGGTGTTTTCTTTTTTCTCTGTGCATTGGCTTAAACTGCTAAGGTTATTTCGCCTCGTGTTCTGTGTAGGGTTTGTTACTGTTTTCCAGCGCAACTTTAGAAACAGCACTTTTAATTAGAACCCAACAGTGAATGGTCGAGTGGGTAATCCTACCAAGGCATCAGAATTAATTTTAAATAAATAAATTAAATGAAAAAATCCCCGGCAACGGTGGGATTCGAACCTTGGATTCGCAGTCAGAGACTCTACCGCTGAGCCACCCACCCCCATTGCGTTTTCTTTTTATTATTAATTAGTGGCAAACGATATTCCAGTAATATTTGGTTCACATAATAAGGGGTTTTAGTACTTTACTTTATGTCCATTTTAAACTTTTTAATTAGTTCATTGGCGGAGGTCCGGATAACGAGTATTATTTATTTTTGCGAACGTATGTTACTCCCCAAATCTCCGCCAGTGAACTAATAGCAACGTTTAAAATGGACTTAAAGTAAAGTACTAAAACCACTTATTATGTGTACCAAATATCTAAAAAATTTATAATTCATTTTCGTCTTAAAATTAGGTGAGAATTCTTCTCCTTTCTTCTATCAGAGAGGTTAGGAAACACCCTGTATATTATGTTTTGATATTGTAATGTAATGCAATAATCGAATATCAATAATGACTATATACATTGATTTATCAATAATTTCGTCATAAAGAGCCTTACATACCTAATTTTTAACAGCACAACAAAAAATACTCCGCACCGATCAATCCGTCTTCACACATTGACTAAAACTGAAAAAAAAAATAAGCAAAAGGAATACGTGTCGTTCTTGAGTGAATCACTGTTTCTACACCTGCATGTATAGAGAAAGTAAAAGTTAAAAAGTCTTTTGGTAGGTAGAGAGGGGGTAAACGTCAAACCACGTCGGGCGGCTCCGAGAATTTCACAGTAATGTTTACCTGCCAGTGTCGTTTCATAGAATAAGTAATTTTAAATTGTTATCGGCGGAACCGGACAATCGCATGTATTTATGGATTATAAATAATTATTAAACATGTATTATAATATTCAAATTATAATTTTACAAAATTTCAACAGCTATTCACAATTTATTAAACTATTTACTCGAAATTGTTATTAACATCTATAAAATAATTTTGTACGCCAATGTATCGTGTCCACTTCGGTGAGATCCGCTGACAACCTGTCAAGTTATGTGTATAAAGTGGGAGAACTGGCAAAAGCATTTCCAACTTTTACTTCTGTTCTATAGATTGATATTGCTATGCCCAGTGGTATAAATATAGATCTGCAAATATTTGCTTATAACGTAAAATTTAAAAAACAATATAAAATTTGAGATGGAGTGGTAAGTCTACTTTTTTTAGGAACCCAATAACTTACATATTATATTTTAAAAGCTATTTGGCTATCGTCAATAAATACATTTATTTGGTAATACAAGAAACCTATTTTTACTCAATTAAAAAAAAAATCGGAAAAAAGTACTTCAGTTATGAAAAATAATAAGTATACTCTTGACGTCGACCTAAATATGTACCTCTATGACTTTGAATTTTTTTTTTAAATTGATTGCAATGGTATAATTTGTTTTTGTTATGATCTATAAATAGATCACTGGGTGTTAATGGGTTAATATTTGACACCTGATATGTCAAACGTTTCATTTTAATTTTGACATATGTTATGTTGTAATGAAAAACATTTGTTATACCTAATGGTATTTTACCTATAAAAGCATTTGTAAATGAAATCATAATGTTTTTAATTTCGACTAAACACTATCCACACTTTTAAAATTATTTAAAAAATCTAATACAAGCCACATCTTGAGTGAACTTCCATAGCCAGATTTTATGGGCTTACTTTTTATTCAAGAAATTATTTTGTGATCGTAGGGAAAATATTGTAAAACTGATTTTTAACACTCAAGTGATTATTGCGCTCAGCTTATGCCTCGTGCAACAATATTTCCCACTCATGTAAAAAATCTCACTTTCCACACTCGTCATGTAATATACTATTACATTTATGTTTTTACGATTTATTAAATTCCGAAACAAAATTAATTACTTAAACAACTTTACTGAATTTATCTAAAGGTGATCCGGATCAACATTCAATTTCAAAATTACAAAATTGGATCTGGGATCAAATCAAACATTTAAAAGATTAAAAGCGACCAAAAATAAAAAGAACAGGTGTTAAACGAATAGTCGATCAAATGAAAAAAAAAAAGGAAAATATCGTCTGCCTTTAATTCGAAACTAATTTCAAATACAATGCCCCAAAAGAATATTCTCGATCAATTTCGGGCGATTATTATTTTTGAGAGCCAACCAATCAATCCTACCGTGTTATTATACTGTATTATATCGATCTCATCCTTAATATATACCGTAAAAAAAGAACCTGCCTGGGACATTGAATTAATTTTAACAATAAGAGTAAATTACAGACTGAAACTACCATGGATATTAACAATACATTGTTTCTACAGAATTATTTTTAGTACGAGATGCATAGGCATAAGTGCTGATAATTGTTTTCGAAACAAAACTTAAGAACTGTTATAACCGATTAAAATGTTTCTTTATATTTTGTATAGGCATTATTAATCAACGTATAGGTACTATTATTTCGTTGGGTAGGTATGTATACCTACTTGAACCAAAAGGATACTTCCGGTGTTTCTTTGCTGAAAACCTTGTGTAAATTCTCAAATCTTCGATATTAAATTATTAAAAAATATCTGTGGAAGACATACGAGCAGAGACTTTACATAAAACTAAAAAAGTGGTTCTACTACTCTATTTCCATCATATTTCAGACAAAAAAAATATTTTCTTGAAATTTTCAAATTAAACAAGTTAATTTTAAATATTATTTGAAATATTGACATTAAAACCTTTATCTTATATTAGAAGGAGTAAGGAACACACCAAATGTAAGAATATTAACGACTAAAAAACCATTCTATCGAGATTGAGATAACTGTTACCAGAAAAGAGAAAACTAATAAAGAATTGGCAGATAACAAAATCACTACGTACCTCTCAAAACCACTAATTTTAAAAAACCGTTTAAACCTTGGATCACTGAAAATATAAAATTTATGATTCAATTGAGAAACAAAGCACTTATCAAATATAAATCAAACAAAACTATTTCTAATTGGAACTATTATAAACAATTAAGAACTTTTATAAATAATGCAATTAAAACATAGAAAAAAGTGTATTTAGAACATAAACTTCGAAACTCTGACTCCAAAGCTAAATAGAAAATCCTACATAATATATTAACAAGCAAAATTGAGGAAATAAATTTTAATTTTCATATGCAAATCAAATTTATAACCATTTTTTAAAAATTTCCAACGTACTCCTGCCTATCAACAACTAGCTCAGTTTTTTAATATTAATAAATAATTGAATTTCTCAGAAGGAATTAATATAAAATTATTACAATTAATGTGTCCCTTTCTGATCCTATACATAATACATATAATTAACTACTGTTTAATAAAATCAGTTTTACCTGAATCATGGAAGGAAGTGCTTTTACTGCCAATCCCAAAAACAAAAACTTAGAAAGTGTACCTGATTTACGTCTTATTACCATTCTACCAACTATTTCCAAAGTTTTAAAAAGAGTTGTCGAGCAACAAATACGTGACCATTTAAACAAATATGACATACTGCCTCACACCCAATCAGGATTCAGACCAGGATATAGTTGGGGTACAGCATTATCTAATATAACAGATGACATCTTAAAACAACGAGATAAAGGTAAAATTTGAGTCCTAGTTTTATTAGATTACAGCAAGACATTATTAACAATTTTAAATTTCATAGGATTCGAGAAAACAACTATAACTTTTTATAGAAACAAGAAGGTGCCAAAGAGTAGTATTTAATAGAAGCAAATCAGATGCTGGTCTCGTAATGCGAAGAGTGGCGCAAGGATCCATTTTAGGCCCTTTACTCTAAACCATTTATACTCACAATTTGGTATCAGTATAAGTAGATGCAATATTCATATTATGTATGCTGATGATACCCAGATATACTACTTCTTTAACCCGTCTGAGATTAAAGCTTCAGAAAAAATTATCAATGATGATGTCAATGCATTAGTAGAATTCCCATCTAGTCATGACCTTGTTATTAACATGTCAAAATCAACTGTTCTACATTTCGGACCTAAAAGTAACCATGTTTGTAATATTAAAATTATTAACAACACGTGTATAAATATACGCAAAAAGGATCTAATAGATATCCCTAAACATAGAACATCTCAATATAAAAATTCCTTCTCTTATCGATTGCAAAACATAATGAAATTCTAATGAATTTGAAAAATGTACTTGTCAACTTGTAAAAATCGTATAACTAAGCTATTATTTGACGAACAGGGCACTATATTTTTTTCTAATTCTTCTAACACTAACTCATCGGTTAGAAATGTCAAACAAAAAAATTGTTGGGGAAAAATTGTTAAGGAAAAAATTGTTAGGGAAAAAATTGTTAGAAATAAATTGTTAACAAAAAATTATTGAAAAAATGTGTAAAAAAATGTTTTGTTTTGTATTATATTGTTTTTTTGTTTCAATCGTGTACTTACTTATATGTATACATATTTTTATTTTTATATTCTTTTTTTTTTACTTTCCTTCAGGCTTCTGAGGAAGAACAGTTTTTAACTGATCAAAAGTCCTTTTGACCATTTGTGTTTTGTTTGCATTATATAGTTTATTTGTAAATAGT